ATTAACTTACATTACACCTTCCCTGACCAACAAGGTGGCTGGGGGTGCCATGGCGGCACCTTTCTGACACTCTTCATATCCGAATTCAATTCCTGACACCCTTCTATGCCGATTTTTAGTATAATTTTTAGTATGATAATTCAAGAAACGCAATTCATTAAAGTCTGAGAGACACTTAAATTTTTCACCGTTAGAAAGGACTTGCGTATTCCTTTAAGTGCATTCATTTTTTTGCTGTTGGTGTCGGCATCAATTCTACGAAAGTGATTCTCATATGTAGTATTGTTCAAAGATATACGAAAAGGAATCTTAAATTCGACATTCCCCTCCTTGCTCCATGACCTTGCAAGGTTTGCGTTGCAGCGGCCGGTGTGAGACTGGCGAAATGTCCCTTCTAAGGGACCAACGCGACTCGGCGCATGCGGAGAAAGAAGGCAACTTTAGTCTTGTTGAGCTGACAGGAATTTTGGTAGTTTCTTTTCAACGTTTGTTGAATTTAGTCAAAACATTATCTTTTGCTTGTTATTATGAAAAGTTAGTTGTCGTCTGCAGTTGAGTTCTCGTGTACTATATTGAGTTGAGAGGATTAATAGCCTTCTTTCAATGCGTTATTGAGCGTGTGTGTTGTGCAATTTTTAATAAGATACTTTTCACATTATTCAGTTATTTATCAGTAATATTTCATTGATGATCGTTATACAATATTGTCAAAAGGCAAATAACTGAGTTTTAATAAAGAATGGGAGGAGCTCTTTTGCTTTATAGAAATCGGCCTAATGGTCCCGAGTAGATGAAAAAGCTTGGTCCGGGCTGCGACACATTATCACATATGTCACGGGACCAGTACGGAGCTCAGAGCTTGTCTCGATTGGAGCGGTACTCCGCAGTGGGAGGTACTACCTGCTCTAGTAAAATCCCTGCTAACCGACTTAGAGGTCGACGCCAGATCTAACCATCAAGTGGGGAAGTCCTAGATGGTGAGATTTGACGTTCTCACTTCCCCAGATAAAACATTACCTACACTAATGGGACTAACAACCGTACCAGTTGTACCAGGAAGTATGCATTCAACAAACCATCAGCCGTATAACGATACTCAAGCGTTCTCAGACAATATATATTGAAATACATGTAAAAATATTTGATTTTTAGAGGACTTTATATTCTTTTACGAAATGTAACGTCTTTTAATGAAAATAATTTTGTAAAACTCGAGAAACTAATAATAAAAACAACTTTGTAAGATCTCTAACAATTCTGGTTCCAGCAAGACCATATTTTGTTTATTGGGAAATTGATCAACGTCAATAATTTTAAAACAAAACAATTATTCAAATTGCCTTTATAAATTCAAAGTAAAGCGTAAAAAAGTTCAAGTGAAATAAGTTGTATATGTTTGTATTTAATTTTTAATTTTAATTAAGAATAACATTTAATAATAATAATTTATTGTTACTTAGTTTATTATTTATTTTATATTCATAATAATACTTTTTATGTATCGGTACTATTGCTTACATTATAGTATATTTTTTCGTATATTTTACTTTTATTCTATATGTGGGTTTGCTGTCAAATTTGTATATTAACATCACTATTGAAGTATTCTGTAACATAAGAAAAGACGTAATGTAATTCAAGTCTCTTCGCGGTATTTCTGGTAATCTATGGTGGGTTTCTCTTTCACAGTATGTGCTTTCAGAGGAATTATAGGAATTTTACCTTCTGAAGAATAAGGTGGAATTACTCATATTTCGCATCTTCTCTTATTACATTGTAGAGTATTGCAGTTTTCATGACGGGATTATTTGAAATGTAATCGTTCATCTTTCAATAAAAGTGATATCACATTTGAAAACACAATCAACAAATGTTGATAAAACGTATTTTAAAAATTCCATGTAGTTGAATTCATTTTATCTCGTAAATATGAGTGCAATATACGTAGGAATGCTTAACATCGAAAAATTCTAAATTTTCTACCAAAAAAATTTTCAAAGTAAAGTATTTCTTTAAAAAATATATTTTCAATACGAAAACTATTTTATACACCTACGAATGGTACAGTGCAATACTATTTGTTAAAGCTTTACCATGCGTTTACGGGAAGACTTTTTTAGGGTGTCTCGGGGACCACACGACGAACCTCCCACATCTAGGCTGTGTTTCGTATCTCGGTCAATTCATGCTGAATTTGTGGTGGGGAAAACAAGACCCGTCTGGTTCTTCGGGGTTAACCCGTTTCTTGTCTCCCCCACAGCACCGTCACTCGCGCCATTGTCATTGGTTATTTCATCATCTGCTCCCAGGCGGTGTGTAGGGCTAACCGACAGTTTCTCTACCCGTCATCTAATCTGAGGGGTTTTTCACCACAATTTAGCGACACCATATATACGTGATAGAAAATAAGCTCGAGAGTGAACATGCTTTTAGTTAACCGCACCAAAATTGCAGGGTATGGATCGATTTCCTCTTTCCAATTCGTTTATTTTCAGGGATCCAGTAATCCGAGTAAATCCCTCTGCAAATTGTACATTGAAACTTAAGAACTATTCAACTCATACGTAAGAGCAATTGGGTGACTATTCCAGCCCAATTACGCAGGAGTACAGGCAGTTCCACAAATTGCTAAAAAAGAATATGTAACCATAACGTACGAGTAATTACCGTTCAGATAACCGAGAATTCATAATTACCGTTCAGAAAAGATCCTTGATGATTTAAGCAGATGTTCGCAGGTTTAAGGGTCTGGCTATTTTTTAAATTTTATACTAATAAAAAAGTTTAGTTACGACCTATACAAATAAGACTAATTCAATTCAAAAGATGCCAGAAATGAAATATTCAATGAGTATTCAATTATTTACTAGTAAAACAAATAACAAAAAGTTTTAATATAAATGTCCAGTAAGATGAATGTGGAAATATAATGAATATCCTATTATCTTAACTTTATTTCAAAAGTTTATGTAAATGGTGATAATGATATGCAAAAATAATAAAACTGGCCGCATTGGCGATTTACAGTAGTTACTAGTCCTCAATGGAAGCTTCGGAACTAGATCGGAAAGGTCGTTCAAGTTTCGATGGGGTGGATAGGATACACCAGCAGAGGAGGCAAGAAGCTGAGGAAGACCATGCTATAGCCTACATGGAAATTCCAGAGACCGGCTGATCAGATTCGTCTTTTCGTAGTTTCCTCCGATTAATTCGAATCGAATGCAGGGGCAGTACCTTATACAACTGTCCAGAGACCACGCGCACTCTTTCCTTCCTCATCCTGCCTCCACTCCCATCTTTAGGGCTTTCATCCCCATATGACCCATTCTCCAAATTCGATAAGATCTATGGCATTGTTGAGAGTTGGCGCTTGCCAGGTTCTAATTGGGTTGTGCCTCCACAGGAAGAAAAGAAAGTAATGACGATGTCATTTGTGTTTTCGATGACCAGAGATGAGAGATCGTGGGGTTGTGATATGGAAGCGTTTCTAGTCCTATTAATCGCCCTGTGAAGACAATGAACTGCCAGTGCCTGAGTAGATAATGAGTAGACAACTGAGTGAACAATGGCTGCCAGTGCCTCGTCATCCCACATCGCCAACGATGACCTTTACAGAAGGCTCCTCATGGAATACGAACTTTGTGCCGCCCGCTGCCACCCATAAAGCAAGGAGCATGCATATGTAATATCTGTTACCATTGTTGCCTTCAAATAGGTTCAGATTTATCCCTATGTGGACCC